AATTCAAACCAAGCTTGATGGCTAGACGTAGTTTTTGACATATAAACCTCGATTTTTCACACCCTATATCTTTGTTATCATTCCCGCTAGACCCCAATCGATGGAATCAGCTCTTCAGGAGGAATCTGAAAATGGAATGATATACGGGGTGTTCCATTGAAAAAATCAAAGTTGTTGCTACTTTTCAATATAAGGGACAACGTCGTAACGCTGAGAATATTTTAGGTCGATAGAACACAACTAATTATCCAAGGCACCAACTTTTCAGAATAATCCTGAGGTGCGTTCTCGAGAAACGTCTAATATTCCATCCACCGTGAATCACCCTGTATATCTCAGCTATTAGTCGTGCGATTCTTAATAAATTCGGATCGGTATGGATAACCATCAGTATGATCAGTTTTTCAGAAACGACTGGAAACGAGCATCATTTTGGGCAGTGCCGTGCGTTTTTATTGAAATGAAAATGGGTACGGTTTTAATGAAATCATATTAGAGTTTTTACAGAAAAACTGACCTCAAAACATGGTTTCAAGCCTCCATATGAAAATTTTCATATCTTTTCTATGGAAGGTTTCGAAAAGACAAGCATATCTCAACAGCATTTTTGCAAATGTAAATAATCATTTACTGGGAAACGACGAGTTCAACAAGAAGAAGTATATCTTGTTTTTTCTCTCAAATCATAATTTTCTACCCATTTTCGCTATTTTTTCGTGGCAGTGAATGAAAAAAAAAAAAGAAACCAAAATCCTGTTAATTCAGAATTAGGTGATTTTTTTTGCATAGGGAGGTTCTGAAGCATGAGGAACAATAATATGAATTTAGTTTCCTTCAAAAAAATCCTAATGTTATTTCATGAAAAATTTACCCCTTTTAATTTCGATAAAAACGCACGGCACTATCCAGAATGATGTTCGTCTCTGGAAAACTGATCATGTTGATGGTTATTCTTACCGATCCAAATTTGGTACGAATCGCACGACTAATATAGCTGAGATATAGAGGCCGTTTGAAGCTAGCATCGAGAGTATATTTTGCAAGATACAAAAGTTGAATAATTAGTTTTTGAGTCGAGAATATGATGATCACGATGTAGTGATGATGATAATGTAAGTGTTGGTGTAATTGAGGTTAGGTTGAAATTACGAAACTTTTGCCTAATTTAATCAACGATACAAGGGACTGCCAGGATTATTTTCAAGGAGGTTCATCTTCATCTAATGATGATTAATAGATGATGATGTATGTTAGGCCAATTAACAGAAAGAGTTGGACAGCAACCTAAAACCTTTGAGCTTTCATCAAAACAGGAACCTGATATGGAAACATTATTTGAACTTTTCTATATCTTTATTGACTAGTGATTCATAAAATGACGAAAACTACCTTGGTAGAAAAAACACAGTTTACGCCTTGAAAAAGAGTAAATAATGGTATAGGCTCTCGAGCTAGTGGGGAAAAATAGTTATTTATACACCAAGATAGTAATAGTTATTTATGTATCAAGGGCGTAAAATAGGCTTTTATGGACCGCAGCGTGTAAGTAATAGACCGAGCGATAGCGAGGGCTATTAACACGCCTAGGTCCATAAAAGCTAGTTACGCCCGAAATACATACAACATTTTATGCACGACCTGTATATATTTGATATCTCATGTAGGTATCTCTTCACCCCTCAAGCACAATAAAAATACATCACGGTTGCAGTGAGACTGTATTGTATCCATATCGCAAATACAATTAATCAAGAAGTATGGAATCAACGTTACCATGGCAACTCAGTCAATTTTTCGAAATAGGAATTAATAGGCCAGTAGCCATATTAACTGTCAATTTGTGTAATCATACATAATTCATAAGTGATTTCAAAATATGAAGAAAGTGTGAATTGTACTCCACCAGAAATTAGTGAGGCAGCTGAGGAAGCAAAATCGAGTTTATTGCCAAGTAAATAAAAAAAAATATACGACAAAGTATACGAAGAATTCGTAAGCTAGTGCGACAGAAATGATGTAAAAAATAAGAACTACACTGAAAGTGTGCTTCTTGCCTATTTTCTGGAAAAATCAAAATCTCGTAAGCCCTCTTCCATGTGGTCATATTATTCCATGTTGAAAGCTACTTTAAATGTACATGATAATAGAGATATTAGTAAATATGCAAGATTGATAGCTTTTTTGAAAAGAAAATCTGACGGTTATTAACCAAAGAAATCGAAGATTCTAAGCAGAGAAGAAATAGAGTTATTCTTGAGTGAAGCACCAGACGATTCGTACTTTATGATGAAAGTAAGTACTATTTTCATGCTTTCTTAATGTCAATCTAGATTTCTATCGATATGACAGTGACATTAGATTTACCACCAGCTCAATGACTTTATCGCCCGCCGGGCGGTAAAGTAGTCCGCGGGCGGTAAAGTGCCAATTTACGCCCGCAAACCCGGGCGGTAAAGTGCTACTTTACGCCTGGTCGTGCATAAAGAATATTATTATCACCCAGAGACCAAGATTATATCCAGAGGCTTCAGCCGAGGGGTATAAGGTCCTGTGGTAATGATATTCTTTACTACCAAGGTGTATATATTACATTTTTTTCACCACATGTAATATATTTCAATCATTATCGTTCTGTGAAACTGAAATATGGACCCATTGTCACTATGAAAGCACTTCCCTTCAATTCTAATTGAAATAATAGCTATGACTATGACAGCATATGTCAAGTCGTCATTGATAAAAACGTACTAGATTCGAGTCCCGTTTCTGCGAATATCGCATTAAGGGTGCCTTCCATACCAGCTTCTTGCAGTAACTTTTCAATGAAGAAGTGCTGCTATTTATTTTTGACCATTTCCATAAGATAAGAAAACCCGCTGAGTTTTGTACGTCAGATGAATGATGAAATGTCAGATGGCTTTATCTCATTATCTGTCAGTAGAATATACTATGAAATTATTTGTGTAATTGTGATGGATGGTGTTCCGTCATGGATTCATTGCATGAAATAGCAGCAAACAGAATATTGCAACGCAGATGCCTAGTACTTCCTATATAATACGACTTTTTTGAATGATAGACCTAGCGAAGAAGGAGTCGATTTTGGGTTCATCCTATTAATACTGTTCATGCAAGATCTCTACATGGGGACCATCAAATCAGATATTTTTCAAAATAGCATAGCATCAAATTAGACAAAGATGTGAAACTATTTGCTGCTGAAAAGTAAAACTTGGACCAACTTCATGCAAGATTTCTGCATGGAGACCATCAAATCAGATATTTTTAAAAATAGCATAGCATCAAATTAGACAAAGATGTGAAACTATTTGCCGCTGAAATATAAAACTTGGACCATTCATTTACATTCTGCCCATCAGAACTGGCTACTAAATCCTGACTCTATCTATTGAAAAACTAGTGCATCCTAAAATCAAATAAATTGAAGTACCTACATATACCCTTTGTTAAGTATATCGAGAAATACTTTCAACAAATTGATTCACAAACTATGACCTCTTTTCGCCAGTGAGATGAGACGCCACTTCTTTATGAAAATAAAGACAGAGAAAGATATATGGATGTACCCTTCACCGCGGCAGTAGAGGATAGAAGATCCGAAGTGCATGGAAAAGCATATTATCCATGTCTTTGTTCAGAAGTCATTTTGAGAATTTGGGGTTATGCCTTCCGTCACTGCTTGTCATAGTGTCCGTACTCTTATTACAAAAAAACTGACAAATATATACAGGGAATTATACATACAGGGACTCTACTTTAGAGCAGTGAATTTGGGTTGATTATAACAGAGTTGGCTGTCATTATTGACTAGTGGTTCATAAAATGACGAAAACTACCTTGGTAGTAAAAACACACTTTCCGCCTCGAAAAAAGTGAATAATGGTAGGTTCTACAGCTAGTGGTGGAATAGTTATTTAACCAACTAGTGTATTAATGAGGGCGATTATTGATCGAGATATTTTAACGTGCGAGCGAAGCGAGCGCGTTAATGTTCGAGATCATTAATCGCCTTTCAATATACAAGTTGGTTCCAAAATTTTTCCGTCGACTATATTTCTTATTTCTCCTGCAGTGAAGAAAACTTGGTTCGCGAATTCATCATTCATCCGGAAACTGCTAAGAATCACCCATAGCAGCCTTGTTACTGGCATTAGTGACATTTGACAGTTGTCGAAATGATCAACATAGAAAATGAATTCCTTGTGTTAGAAACCAGGGATTGAAATCGTGTCAGAAACTTGGAAAGGCGAACCCGTTAACGGCAAATCTTCGATGAATACGATATGTTCGATTTAAATGCAGAATCCGTAAGTTATAGCATAAACAATGAATGCACGCGGTGTATGTTTGGTTGCCTATAAAACAATCGTGCATTAATAGACAAATTGATCATTAATAGGGGTCATTAATGAACGATTTCATGAACATTGAACTTACTCGTTAATACGAGGTCGACGGAAAAAAATATTATTCGTCATTTTATGAACCACTAGTCAATAAAGACAGAGCCACCTCTGATATAATTAACCCGAATCCACTGTTGTTATGCGAGATTCGCATGAATGGCACTCGAAGAAGTGGTGGAAAAAATGTAATATACACCTTGGTAGTAAAGAATTATATTACCACGGCTGAAGCCTCGGGATATAATCTTGGTACCTGGGTGATACTGATATTCTTTACTACCTTGATGTATAAATAACTATCCTTTGTTTTTATATAATTTTACGAGTCTTTGGCAAATTGTCTTTGCACAATAACCACATTCATAATTTTCAATTCTAACAATATTGCCGGATTTGCGGAATTTGCGGGAGGCAAATTTTTTTATTTTGAGCTTTGCGATCTTTTTCCACATTTTTGTTAAAGTGATTGGCCTATTCGAATTGGTCTTATGAGTTGCTAAAGTCAAAACACTTTCTTGCTGAGGGGAATTGTTACAGCAAATCAATCTCATGTCGTTTAACAAAATTATCAATTTGTTGGTGGTACGTATATTTCAAGGAATATTTTCAATATCCTCAGATTATCACTTATTTACGGCATATTATTTATAATATTTACAAGTTTTCAAGCGATTCAGCCTTAAATAATGCCCATCAATAATAATGTAGCTAGAAAATAAATAACAAACATGTATTTCTCCCATAAATTAACTTGCGCACTGTTAGAGTCTCTTATGGTGGTAGTGAGAGCTTTCTCCCTTTCTCGAAAGAGATTTTTTGCTAACATCCTCATTTTCGATATCTTATCATCGAAGACTGCCGTGGAAGAGTTCGTTGGCACATTCACGTTACAGTAGTTCTGGTCACAACACGATACACACATCTGAAAACAAAAAAAGCAATATTATTAAGAGGGCATTAGTATTACTAATGACATAAACACTATCTAGACCGCTAGTGGTCATATTCCAGCAATCCGAAAATCTGCTCAATGCGCAGGAACTCCCAAACTGTCGTTCATGGCATTGAGTCATGTCACTTGGTGTTTGGAAACTTGAGTAAGAGTGAGCAAGATATATGACATAAGTTATCTAAGTGGAAGAAAACAAAAAACTAGAATTGACTCGAAAATTTCTGATGAGATATACTGAATAACACCGAAAAAATTCAAGGGCCGATTCCTTGTGATATTTTAGGAAATAAAGTTGATATGGACATGTGTCCTAACTTGCTTCGTTTTCGAGATGCAGGGTGTCAATATTTCCATGAAAACTCGTTTTTTATTTTATTACTCAATTGTCTTTCCATCAATTTCAATAAAACGTTGTGGTTTTGTTGATAGTAATATGGAGCTTCTTCTGGTGCAATTAGATAGAATAATATTTCCAGTGGCGTCACAGTGAAAAAAATTATCGATATTTATATATGTATAGTGAATGTCATTGTACTCCACGGGTTCTTCTGAGTTTCATATTTTTATTAGATTGAACTATTGAAATAACAACTGTAATTTTTGTATCTGGATAATTTCTTTGAGAAAACAATAAAAATTCGATTTGACTCCAAATTTTACTGTAGGTGTTTTCAAGACTACCATTGATATTACTCAATAACCCCAATCACAATCATTTTAAAATTTTAGGGCTTCCTCAGTCTCCAACCATACTGAATTTTGGCACCATGAAAGCTTATACAGGGAGGTTATAAATAAAAACAATTAATACTTCCAACTTCAACATCCTGTATATAAAAAATGGAGCAATAAGTTAGGATACATGTTTATATGAACTTTATTTGCTAGAATATCACAAGGAATCACCCCTTGAATTTTTTCGGTATTATTTAGGTGTTCCCCAAGGAAGCCGCTAGGCCCACTTTCATTCATAATATACCTGAATGATATTTACTATGTTCCTGAGGCACATGAACTTAATCTGTTTGCAGATGATACTTTGATTCATATTTCAAATACGGAACTGAACAATGCAGTAGATATCCTCAGACGTTCTATGAATAATATTGAAAACTATTTACATTAAAATAAATCTAACAAAACAAAAGTTATGGCAATAACAACAAAATATAAATTAGACTCTATATTGATTACAATGAAATGAAATTTGAGATTAATAGCACTGCCTTGAAATATGTGTCTGAAATAAAGTATCTGGGAGTTATTGTAGACAACACTCTTGAGTTTGAATAGGAATGCTGAGTATATTATAAAAAAAATCGATTTTTTTTTCCTAGAGTAGCAAATAATTTGACTCCTCATTCCAGAATATTAACATATAATTGCATAATTAAAAGTCATTTCGAGTACTGTCCAACTTAAATGCATTTGATAAAATAATATACTTCCATTGATCATATGTCAAATATGCTACAATGGCTGTCGATTTCAAATCGATTAATTTTTTTTACCTATGGTTTTTATATTTAAAATAACCAAAGGTCTTCAACCAACATATTTTAATGAATTTTATGTTTTCAATGACCAAATACATGACCACCAGACAAGATCAAATGCATATTTCCATATATATAGAACTCATACTGGTGGTGGCATGAAAATCAATATTTTTTCATATCTCTTTTATCATGTATCTTCGTTTGTTCCTTTTTGTCGTCTTTATTTTTAGTTTTTGATTACTGTTATTTACTTTCAGATTTTAATCATGTTATTTACATTCAGATTTGAATTTTATTAATATTTCTGGCACTGTGTGAAACTCTGAATTATCATTATGTATTATATTTATTGTAAGATTAGGATATATCCTATAATAAAGATTACTACTACTACTACAGGTCCTGAATGTGCATGATTCATGTTCATCAGTTCGATCTCGTGAGTAGCATAGCTACTTTCTAATGGCATTGCCGCTCTAGATATAAGTTTAAGTTGCATATTGTTTATTTGATTACCCAAATAGAAGATACAACAATAGAAAAAATGTCATATTTGGAGAATGACACCTTCATTCATGGAAGGGGAGGGGTTTGAGGAAAAATCTTTTTTTCGAATTTTGTCTAAATAGCAGATATCTACATTGTTTTAGCTATGTTTTATCTAGTGCCCAAAGAAACAAATAGACCACTATTTTTTTTACGATTTTCATGATGCGATAACTTTTATGGAAATTGACCGATTCCCATTCGGAATGCAGAGTTCAAAAGATGCGACCTTTTTGTTTAGGATCCATTGTTCAAAACTTATCAAAAAGTTTTCCGGATCGTGAGTTCGTTGCTTAGCAACGGACTAAAATACTAGATTAGATTATTTTGTGCTCTGAAGTTGCTCCGACCCAAGTAGCAATATAATACTGTCTGTAGGTTAATCGAGGAGGTGGTACATTCATTATTCCGAATTTTTTGGGATTTTCTCTCCTCGTTTCTATAAAATAAAAATATGAATATTATCTCAATATACGTGTAGTAAGGACAAATCAGATGATTTGCCCCAAAATGTCACTGCGTTTAAAGAATTTTCCTATCAGAGAGCCTAAAAGAAAAATTCACTAGCTTGTCAGTGACAATTTGTATTGAAAAAATTTTTGGAGAAGGGAAATAAAGGTATATAGAAAAATATCAAATTTTCACTTATCTTTGGACGTTTCGGGACCGGTTCTGCTCCCGTTTTCAACATTTTCTAGACATTATACGACTTCGCTATAGAAATAATCTCTTTTCATGTTGAAAACGGGAGCAGAACCAGTCCCGAAACGTCCAAAGATAAGTGAAAATTTGATATTTTTCTATATATCTTTATTTCCCTTCTCCAAAAATGTTTTCAATACAAATTGTCACTGACAAGCTAGTGAATTTTTCTTTTAGGCTCTCTGATAGGAAAATTCTTTGAACGCAGTGACATTTTGGGGCAAATCATCTGATTTGTCCTTACTACACGTATATTGAGATAATATTCATATTTTTATTTTATAGAAACGAGGAGAGAAAATCCCAAAAATTCGGAATAATGATAGCAATATAATGTTATGGCGACGTTTTGGTCAATCATTTTTGGGTTTTTGAAACGTTTCTGTTTCAACTGTAGGTAGTAGTCTGTGGTTTCTGAAACGTTGCTAGATTGACTTAAAAACTACCGCACAATACTGCGCCCTCTCGATCGCGCATGACAGTTTAATTTCCATATGGTGTTCAGAAATTAGTATATATTTCAACCAAATAATTACTGAGGACCAGAATGGTGACTAAGGAAAAACTTTCAGACAATTATCATGGCATGTTAAGAACAAAATGTTTCATTCTCAATTACCATATTCATATTGCTGAAAAAATTAACAGTGCATTCAATTTTACAACATACTATCGTTTCATGCCAAAAAACATCAAGCACGCCTACTATATGTTCTTATTTCTAAATAATGTTTGTTTATTTCCCAAATTTCAATGGCCGACCATTTTTCCAAAGAGAATAACTCTTCAAACATGGCGTAGGAGTATTGTAGGCGTTAACGCGACTACGGATATCATAAAACTGAAAAATATACCAACTTTCAACTTTAGTCTTCTAGACAACCAACTTTATCCGAAGCGCGACTGAAGTTTCGTATCCGACCTCAAACTGAACGCAGTCAACTACTTCACCCTGCTGCACATTGTGGAACACATACCCATATTTTTCTGAAATCTGGGATGGAAAAAGATCTTGAAAATAATGGCTACCCATTACAGGGTTGTGATCATGAAAAGCACGCAAAAGGTAGAACCGATACCACACCAATAGGAAGAAAATGAGACGGTATACTGGCCCTCTACAAAGGGGCAAGTTGGTGATTATTCCTGCATTGGAAATTTAGCAAAACAAACTCCATGTAGGCTTGTACCATAATTTGAGTTCCTGTATTTGTTCACATAAGTCATGCATAAGAGAAACCACTTTTCTTGTTCTGAATATTTTCATAAAAACAGGCCTCAGCATTCAGCTTATCAGCTATCCCGAAGAATTTGGGTAATTTTGACATTGACACTGACATCATTCATCATGTCCTAAAAAAAGGTTAGTTGTGAACAAGTTGTGGAGGTGACTGCGGAAACTATTTTTTACCGCAGCTTAGGTAGATCTTACAAGGTCGGCTCTCCGTCGAGAAAACTTTTAAATAACTAAAGCTGTCACTTAACCGTATTTAGAACGTCATTTCCATTCCCAAGATACATACTACTTTGTAGTTGGTTGGGAGAACGTTGTAACAACGTCGTAGTTTAACTAACGTCATGCTAAACATTGAGACGACGTTGTTTGGTGGTTCAGAGAACATCGTTTACCTAATGAATGACTAATTTCAACACCAAGTACAACGTTAGCTTTGGAGTATTATGTGGTTGTCTTCGCCAAATTGCTACTTGGGGAGAAAGTATAGGCATTCTTGAGTGATATCAAAAGAAGTTTTTCCCAGCTGATGCCTTGCGGTATACCTTTTATGATAGGCCTCCCTGTATTTTTCTGTAGTTGCTTTGTAACTTATTTTATTTCAGCAAATCAGAGCAGAAAGCAAAGAAACGGAGAATTGACACATTGTATGGGTATAAATCCAATACCTATGCGGTGGCTGGAATACATTGCATTGTGTTGTACCTACAAATTTCAGCAAACCGGAAATCAAATTTAGGGATGCACAAAACCCACCGTTTGAGCGTCGATTTCCACACATCCCACTTTATTTCTTTGGCATTCCTTGTCGGTGGTGCACTTTTTGTTCACTAGCACGCTCGTTCCCTTTGAATCCATTATGTGCAATGTGTGACAAAACGTTTCTCCTGGAAAATAAAAATATGGCGTAGACTGTGTAGTACGAGCACGTGTAGAAGGTTCAATACCCGCCGAACCGGCTATATTTTCATGGGCGTTCTCGGTAGGGGCAGTAGGGGCATGGCGGACATGTTAAGTAAATATTACATATAATTGAATATTCGCAGAGGAAATTTAACACCTAACATTTTCTACCAACTAATAGATAGTTATTTTTGTATCAAGAGCGCGAAATGCTTCTTTGGTGATTGTGAGTTTTCCAATAAAAGTCTTGAGAGATACTCGAAAACGGTTCAAAATATATTGCCAATAAATTCCGTGACAAAATTTTATATTGAGAGAACAAGTAAGTAACGACTCTCGAATCAGAAACTCAAAGAAATCATGGCACTAGATTACAATAATTTTGAATGACATATTAGGGGGGTATCGAGTGATAGCTCATTTGAAAGGTCTTTTTAATTCCTTTATTGTGGCGTTTGATTTTTTAAAATGGGTCGATTCGTTTTCGAGATAATTAGAAAAGTCTTCATTTATCTCAATTTGTTCATATAGAAAAAAAAAACACACGAAAATATAACTCTTTATTTCAATAAGTGTTCAAAATGTTGCCCGTTATTGGCCAAACAATGATATAGGCGATGTTCAAATTCCTGACGGACATTTTCAAAAACATGTTGTGGAAGATCACGGCAGCTATCGATGATGCGTTGACGAAGTTCATCCAAACTTTCAGGTTGGGGAGTGAACACAATAGATTTCAAATGTCCCCATAGAAAAAAGTCTAATGGCGTCAAGTCAGGAGATCTAGCAGGCCATTCTATAGGTCCTCTTCGCTCTATCCATTTATCTGGAAACTCGTCGTCTAGCCATTGCCGAACCGGAAGAACATAATGAGGAGGAGCGCCGTCTTGCTGGAAATATATTTTAGCCTCATCATCAAGTATAGGGTTTCCATGCATTGTCTTCGATTTGGTTTTCAATAGTTTCAGTGATAAGCGGATTGATGGTATTTTCCAACATATCTAAATAAATGCCTCCATTTAAATTCCCATTAACAAACAATGGCCCAATCACTTTGTTTTCTAAAATGCCTGCCCATACATTAATTTTTTGGGGGTACTGAGTATGCCCTTCTACAAAAGCATGAGAATTTTCATTGCTCCAATACCTGCAGTTATGCTTATTAACAAATCCATTTAGATAAAATGTGCATTCATCACTGAAGCAGATATTCTTTACATGAATGGTATTATCATTAATCGCTGCAGTCATTTGTTCACAAAACTGAACTCTCCTATCGAAATCATCTTCGGTTAACTCTTGCAATATTTTCATTTTGAATGGATGAAATTTATGTAATTTAGTAACTGTGTGTACAGAGCCTCATGAAATACCAGTTGCTTCAACAATTTTGCGTAATGAAGTATCAGGATTCATGCCAAAATGACCCAAAACTTCAACTTGAGCGGCTTCATCCAAAACTCTACGATGATTACGTTTTTCATTTGCAACAGATCCAGTTTCAGTAAATCCAGCAACAAGGTCCAAAACTATGCGAAGTTATCTTGTCCGGATGTCTGGCGTTGAATGTGACGGCAGTTTCCGAGAACATTGATTTTGTGCACCATAAATTAGAATCATTTCCACTCTTTCGGCTAGTGTGTAAACCATTTATTTTTGAAAGTAAAATCTGAATCAATAAATTAATTTTCACTATGTCAAGATTGTCACAAAGGTAACTGACAGCAAATTAAATTCTCTCTTTCCCTTAGCAACTATAAAAAAATAAACAGGTATAAGAATAAATACAGTTCGCCCATTATCTGTGTTGATAAAAAGAAGACGGAAAATAATTCGGGTTGTTATTCGGTTGTTGCCACGTCTAATCTTCCGAATTGCTGTTCAAGTTGGTTTTTGAACACTTATCGAAATAAAAAGTTATATTTTCGAGCGTTTTTTTTTTCAACAAAAGGTAAATAAAGATTTTTTTAATTATCTCGAAAACGAATCGACCGATTTAAAAAAATCAAACGCCACAATAAAGGAATTGAAAAGACCTTTCAAATGAGCTATCACTCGATACCCCTTACCATTTGAGATTTTTAGGGGGGTAGCTCCTGAGGGCAGGGGGTAAAAGGAGGCGAAGCAATTTTTGCTTAAAAAGTTGTCCCCCTGGATAATTTTTTTTACGTGTTTCGGCGATTTTTTCAAAAACCTTCATGTTTCGAGGTATTCGAGGTGGGAAGTTTTCAAATGAACACCCTGTATATACTGGACGATGAATCTTCTACAGTGATCGAGATGATTTTTTTAACGAGGCGTGGCCAAGTTGAAAAACTAGTCGAGATGACCAAAGTATTTCGCGCTCGAGTTGCAAACAACATTTTTCTACAAACGTCAAAAAACATACACTCACCGGCAAAAAAAACAGCGGCTACCAAAAAAATTCGCCAAATTGTTCGCCCAGTAACTTTTTTAATTCTAGTCCGATTTGGGTGGAATTTCTGCTGAATCGTATATTCATGTTTCGGAATGTTAGCCTGGATATCATTTCCTAAGAAAGTGTGGTCCCTTCTTGATACAATGGTTTTTCATTCACGTCGATAACTACTTTTCCAGAAAAAATACAAGTGTTTCAAGAGACTATGGATTTTATTTTATTTTCATTAAAAATAGTTCGGAACCATTCTCCAACTTTTTGCTTCATCATGATTTGAATTGAAGTGTGATCCTTTTCCATCCCTTCCAAACAGAACGGTTCTAGATTTACGTGAGTATCTTTATTTTCAGGAGAAGATACACGTGTTTTAGGAACGTATGGAATTTTTTAATTCTTATTAACAATAATTCAGAACCTTATAGAACAACTTTGGAATTAACTCCAGAGGCGTATTCGCCTTCGTCCGGCCTTGTAAGACACTCTTCAAGAGCTTCGATAGGCCCTTTCAGGCGAATTTATGCAATTCCTCAAGCCCACTTCAGAAATTTGATCAATTCAAACTCGAGGAAGGCATACTCGTTATTGACCACAGGTCTGCTTCTTGTTTGTTTTTTGTAATCAAGGTTTTTTTCCGGTAAGTGCTGAAAAAATGAGGAAAAAATACGTAAAAATACGTGATTAATTCTTTGAGTTGTTAATCAATATGTTTATGTATTTTCTTATTATTGTTGATGAACATTGAAAAATACCATACTTTCTTAAAACACCCGCATCTTTTCTAAAAACTATTGTGTCGAGAAAGAATCAGACTTCAATCAAAAGCATAGGTACTCTATTGAAGTTCAACCACTCGATTTTGCTACAGGGCGTTGAGAACTGAAGGGGTAAAAATTAACTTTGGTTTTTCCCTGTTTATTTATTTATTTATTTATTTATTTATTAATTTATTTATTTATTTATTTATTTATTTATTTATTTATTTATTTATTTATTTATTCATTTATTTATTTATTTATTTATTTATTCATTCATTCATTTATTTATTTATTTATTTATTTATTTATTCATTTATTTATTTATTCATTTATTTATTTATTTATTTATTTATTTATTTATTTATTCATTCATTTATTTATTTATTTATTTATTCATTCATTTATTTATTTATTTATTTATTTCACAAAAATTGGACAAGGAAAAAACAATTCACAGGGTGGACAATTTGGACCAATTATTTGGTGGCCGTTTTTTTTGCCGGTGAGTGTAGTTCTACAGTAAAAATATGCTTAGCTTGATATAAAAAATAGTGTTGAACTGGCTTAAAAGGGCCTCCCCCTATCCTCCCTAGGTACGCACCATGTTCCACGAACATAATAGGAATTTCCTTTCGTGTGCTCCAAGAGATAAAACAAAGTTATTGTTGAACATTCAGAAATAAATGATTTCGTGAATGTTTGCTCGATTGAGGACCATAAAGTTGAAATATAAATATCTCATACTTATATTTTACATAACAATGCGCGAAGTAGGTACTTCGCGCATTGTTTTGTGCAAGGTATCATGGTAACGTAGGAAACTGAGAAAAAGTGTCACTTCACAATTTGTTATCAATGCGCGAACCTTGCCTTTTGTTGACGTTTGTGAAAAAACGTTTTTGAACATATTATTTGCTGGAAATTCTCAAGACCAATCTGCATGGAGAATGGTGGTTTTGAATGAATCTGTACTCAGATTAAGAATTCAGAGATCATTTTTGGTATATGTATAAGTTTATGAATATATTAGTGGGAAAGGTATATATTTCAGGTCTTGAATTTTGTGGTTATTTCATGACAACATCAACACGTGAGTCAACAGCATATTTTCGAGAAAAAATATGAGAAAACGGGAAAACGCCGTTTTCGTTCATCTGATTTCAAAACTATTCCAGATTTGTTTCGGATTGAATTTGATGCGCACCTAATTCTGCGCAATCCAAGGACCGTTTCAAGAATTTGGAACATGAACAAACCTATTGTCTGAGAAATATAACTAAATCAACGAGATAATGAAATACGTGTTCCATTGAAGAATATATAAGTAACCACGTACACCCGTTACCATTGATACAACAAGGCCAGCAGACTCTTACGTAAACAGCTCGTGACGTCGCCAAGAGAGGCCAGTGTTTTATTTTATCGCTCGTCGACTAACGCGTCAGTTCGTGTTAATTCATCGGTGATTCACGTATGTTTTTGAAACGGTCCCGAATTCTTTTGTTGTTTATTCATCAAAATAGTTGGCGGAAAAATTACTGTTTAGTGAAATATTTTGTGTTGTGATCGGCGAAATAACAATGCCTTTCAAGTGTTGTGTTCCCTTTTGTCGGGGGAATTATTTGGGTGGTTCAAAAGTTCATGCTTTCAGTTTCCCGTTGGACGAGGAGCTACCGAAAATGTGGCAATATGCAATTCACCGCGAGGATTTTACTCCATCTAAGTTCAGTAGTAAACAGAGCTTAATTTATAATGATGAAATAATAATAGAAGACAATTACTCTCCCATAAAAAGTATAAGTAGAGGAAAAATAGAAAAGTTTTGATTGTGCAGTTAGCTTCGTATTCGTATATTATAGTCAACAAAATCATCTCTGAATTCGAGGAAATTTTCTTGAATGTTCATAATAAACGGGCATTTTTAATTCTCATTCTCACATTTCTTTCTGAAAACGGTCATTTGCCTCGTGGCAATGAATGCAGAATTCATTCCAATGATCAAATTGCAACTATCATATCAACATGAACTACAAATACTCTACTTAAAAAGGTAAAACTGCATTTATCATGATATTTATCATGAAGATATTTGACTAAAAAGTTCCAAATTTCACCTTCTTTTTCACCTGTCTTCATCATATTGGACAATTTATATATAATTCAACTATAAATATGATTTTCTTGAGATTAATCCATATTCAGTGAAAAGAAGGAAAAATATCATTCAAAATAATGGCGTGTGTAATGTCAGTCGAAAGCAATCTATTGACATTTGACATCTCGTATTTTGATTGACTATTGATTAAATGGTCGTCATTTGGGATGCTTGTTCACTAAATATGAAAAACTCGCCATAAAAATCATATTTCCTGTTGAATTTTCTATATAAAAATGTGCCATCGAAGTACATCATGAGTATATAAAGTGTCCAATGACAAAATAAGAGCAAGTAGCTTCAAATGCCCCCAACACAAGGGGAGAAAGAAGGCGAAATTTCGAACTTTTTCTTGAAATATCTCAATAAATAGTGGTTTGTTCACATTTTCATTATTAAATTCGGTTTATCAGACAAAAATACGTGAGTACCGAAAAAAAATTAAAAAAAAAAACCATCGCATGATAAATGCAGTTTTACCCTTAAAAATTATGGTTTCAAGTGTAACGATCCACTTGGGTGAAAAATCCAACAACAGAAAATTGAAAACACTCACTGCATGGTTATTTTTTCAGGTAATAGGAATTCTCCAAGATAAATATAGGTAATTGTAATAAACGGCATGTCAATCAAAATAAAATACATTTTCCACAATTTTCTTTCGATCAATCTCATGATAAGTTTATGTTCTGCGGGCCCTCTATAAGTAGGTGTGAAGTTTACCTTCACCACAATTTTCGCCAATATATCTAATTCGAATGGGTTGCTGTAGGTGGATATTTGTGTTTTATCCTGGTTTTTGCTTTAAAACTTCGTTTTTCCATAATTAAATCGAATGGGGTGCGAAGAAGGGCTCAGTTGACGACTGGCATCCTTTCTTAACCTGAAGCCCTTCAAAAAACCGCAAAATCGGCTCAATGATGATCTAAAACTAAAATCGAAATACGCGGTCGCCTTATAGCGCTATTAGCGCTTGTCGTTTCGAGCCGCTGGTTAGGCCTCACTAAGTGACGCCACCCACGGAGCATGCAGGCCTTGTTGTATCGGTGGTAACGGTACACCCCGAAAATTTTTGGATACACCATTGATTTCTGCTGAAATTCCCTGTCATAGGTCAGAGATTATACACTATCCCCTCTTAGGACAACATTAATTTTGATAATTTCGTAGATATATAAAAGGGATCAAAAAAGTATGAATTTTCAAAATCGCCCTGGATCTCTCAAACAGACACAGTTATGGAAAATCTGATCTGATATCTTGAGTTTTACAAAAAAGTAGGAGAGGAACGTGAATACCGCAATGCTCTATCAATAATAACAACCGAGAAACCTGGCAGTCTCAACCAAAATGGGATGCACTATGTACAGAGTGTCCCCTTATATTTTCATCCCTACCTGCAGATACAACTATACGAGGTGAAAAAATAGGGTTCCATCTGTAGTATCTCTTGGCATAATGCGAATCGCAAAATAGATAAAAAAATCCAAATCGGTTTTTTCAAATGGAACAACCTGTATCTTTCCAACTCTAGTGAAGAATCATCCCTAATAACACACTTATGTCCCATGTATATCCTTAGGACGCCCTGTCGGGACATTCAGGACGTCCATAGGACCTTCGAATTTGGTACCGTGGACGTCCATTGGACGTCTGTGGGACGCACAAATGTCCCACTTGAGGACCAACTAGGGACGTCCTTGAGGGATGTCCCTGGGACAACTATCGATTATCGAATACCTAAACCCTACAGTATTCCTCATCCAAACACTACAGAGGGCATCCATAGGACAACCTATCAGCAACGCGCTAAGGGATATAAATTGGATGTCCATTAGATGTCCCAGGGACGTACGAATTATTCTTGGATTTGGGTTTTTCTGGGTCCCTCTAGTATCAGATCTTGCATAACTGATTAGGACATCCAGTTGGGTTGATGGTCCGTAGAAGGTCCCCAAGAAGTTTCCCAAGGATGTCCAATGGACTTACGTGAAGGAGACATTGACGAGGAGTACTTATAGCCTACGAGCAATCATTCGTCGGCGAGGTGTAAGTTAACGTCCTCGCTGGGACAACATATTGAAAGTACCGACTGGGATGTCCATAGGACGTTATTTCTAGGACATTGGAAGAGTACAGTTCATGTACCAATTGGGACATCCGACGGATATCCCTAAGGGACATTTCAATTGTTATACGATCCTGGAAATATTGAGGGCGTCTGTGCAGAGATATTTGAAGAAATGTTCTGTCTGAGATATTTCATGTTTGTTCTAGAAGGGACATTATATGAGATCTGAAGTCATGCCAGAATATGTACTACTCGGGACCTCCGATGGATGTCCCTAAAGGAACGTTTAAAATCATATCCCATCAGGGACATGCCAAGGATCTCCTTGCATAGACATTGGGACGTCTGAGGGATGCTATTTCTAGGACATTTGAAATAATATACCAGCTGGGACATTCCGTGGACATTGCATGAGATGTACGGGATGGGACGTCCCAAGGACACTTATTTTTGGTTCGGGACATTCGGACGTGAATTGTACTAAATAGGGACGTCCCTAGGACGTTGTGTGCTATTAGGGATTTACTCCTATTCACAAATATTTAATAATAATAATAATAATAATAATCAACTAGGGAAAAAACCAAATACTCAAAGTGTACCTATGCAAGTGTTTCCTTCCTGTTTAGGAAGGAAACACTTGCGATTTTATTCGTTCGTACGAACTATCGCATAGGTTTCGGGAGGATGTAATGCAATGTTCTGCGTGGCATATAGCCAGGAAAGTAGTTTTTTTTCTCTCGTTATCTACCATTTTGTCGTTCATTTTATGAACTAGTTGTGGTAATGACTTTGAGTTTCTCTCTTCGTGACCAATGCATTCCACTTTGAGTATTTGGCTTTTTCCCTAGTTGAAAATACGCCAGTCGGGCAACCAGCCACTCCCATTTCATCTGAAATGGGATTTTGTTTTGGAGTGTTTCTTTCCTTGCCAGGTGGCGTTCGGCGTTCCCGTTTTCATTTCGCAGACGTCGAACGCCTCGTATGGTATAAATGCTGAGATGAGTTTACGTTGGGTCAGGTTCGCACCAGATAGCGGTCAAGAAGCTATCTGGGACAGCCCTGTACTGATGAGAGCCAAGAGCTAGAAACCGGTCTGCAGGTAGTCAGCGTTCCTGAACCACTTAAACGCAGCTCAGCGTTAGGAAGGAAACACTTGCGATTTTATTCGTTTGTACGAACTATCGCATAGGTTTCGGGAGGATGTAATGCAATGTTTTGCGTGGCATATAGCCAGGAAAGTAGTTGTTTTTCTCTCGTTATCTACCATTTTGTCGTTCATTTTATGAACTAGTTGTGGTAATGACTTTGAGTTTCTCTCCGTGAATAATAATGTTTGTTCGATCACAGTGACATGCGAGTTTTACAAAAGGAAAAAAAATAATGATCTCTGAACATATAATAAATTGGAACATACATTCGAAATGCTACATAATACGACCTTACGAATAAACAAAGATATACCACTAAGGCAGAGCCAGCGCGTGGTCTAGAATGTCTATATATATATAAGTTATACTATTTATATACTATCTATATACTATTATATATACATTATGATGCGAATGTATAGAATACATTCATTATTTCAGAAATGGGCGACATTTGAAAAAATTCCAAAAACACGTGTTTTAATTTTTGAAGCATCATCTCATGATATTCATATGAAAGATGTTACTTCACCGGTGTTGGAGTAATGACGTAATGGACGATTTTTTTCAAATACAAACATGGGTCATGTGACATCTCGTTTGACAGGTCTACTGATCGTCTATACAAGTGTGAAAATTTTGCATAAGAAGATTAAAATCAAAATGGATTATCATTTGATTAACTGAATCTTGCAGAGGTCTGCTACTGAGAATTGAACATCGAAGGGTCGTGTAGTTGAAAAAATACATAATTAAAAGAGTTGTAAACTCTATTTTTTTTTTCGAAAGTCGTCTTGTTTTGAAATGAATTTATTCCATACATTTGCATCATACTGTATAATATAGTTTGCTAATGTTTCCTCAAGCCATTTTTTACTTATTTAGCATCGACTCAAAGTTGCCATCAATAACCTTTAGACACAACAGTAATAAAGATCTTCCACAAAAGTTGAAAATATACAGGGTGTAAGTATAGAAAAATTATTTGGACTCTTAGTTCCTATTTTGCGATTCGCATTTGTTTATTCAAGATATAGTAGGTACTGTTCATCTGTATGAATATAAATATGAAAGTTGTAAGGTTTCATATACCTTACAAGTTTTATATTAGTTTTTTCCACCTTATTGTATAGTTGAAGCTGTAGGTAGGGGTCAAAATATAAGAGGACAGCATGTAAATACTGAACAAATAAGTACTTCGAATATTCTTACCTGGTTTACATGGTCTGTCGATGGCGAACTGATTGCAAATTAGGTTGTCCGATACATTGACGCAAATATAACAAGTGACAGCGTACTTGTCGAAGTCCGTGAATTCAGATACGGAATCTACCAAGTTGGTGGCTATGTTCTTCTCCTCCATTGCTGTGTTTGTCATGAAAATACAGCTGATGAACATACTCAGTCTGAACATTACAATCTGAAACAAAACGTTACAGAGTTAATAATCTATCTGATGGCAGTAGGATAAATATCTAGGCATATCCATATCCAGATGATAAGAACTGTATTTGTCTGGGCAGGATGGACCACCATGGGTATCTCAGTTATTATAAGAGATACGAGGTCGGTTAAATTAGGGTAAAGTTGCGCATTTTCATGCTGAACATTTATCAGCAAGAAAATTCGATTAAAAAGCCGATAATGAATAGTTTCGACACAAACAAATCCTAAAGTTGAAAAATCTCGATTCTGAACACCCTATATCATTGTAATCATTTCAGATAGACCCCAAGTGTGATATATCGATGAAATCAGCTCTTCAGGGAGAATTTAGACATGCAATAAAATACGGGGTATTCTATTTGAAATAACAAAGTTGTTGCTACTTTTTGATAGAAGCGGCAACACTGCATTGCTGAAAATATTTTGAATAAAGAGAGCATAGTCTAAAATATCAGTATGCATATTTTCATGTATTTCTCCCGACTGATTCTCGATATAGAGAAAGTGAAACCTCGTCGTGACATACCGCCTGTATATCATTGCATGACTCCTCAGATGACGTGGAGATATTTGAAGACGAGTGTACGTGTTGTGACGACTATTTCACCAGTGCCACCAGCTGAATCTGCCCAATTAAACCGCAAGATCGTATCAAAATCCGCGAGTTCAACTTGATAATAATTCTCACAAAATCCTCAGAATTTTATTTTTCTCAGATATTGACATACTATATTGGTTATTGGGAAAAATGAGATACAAAATGAGGAAATAAAAACAATTATGAAGTAATGTTTCACTCAGATTGGTAGAACTGATGATATTTTTTCACCAATATTGAATATGTTCATTTATTTTGCCATTAGAATAATTTTAAAGATTTTTTCCCAGAAATTGACATACTATACCGGGTGACACAGGTTATCGGGCCACCCCTGTAACTTCTGCATTCGTCAACGGATTTTTCTGAATTTCGGTACAGTTATATAAGCAACTATTTCGGATTTGATCACATTACAATCCAATATGGCGGACTTCCGGTTTTTCTGGAAATGCCAGCAATTTTGTTTTTTCAAATGGAACACCCTGTATATTTTTACATATTCAAGTTCAACAGGTCAAAACAAGTGCAATCTTGATGTCAAATGTCATTTATTCCACAGCCTACCTAGTTGAAAAATTATTCTAACTGCAAGGAAATTCATAAACTAGTTGTTGATTTTTGATTTGTTACTGCACCGAAAAAAAAAAATGATATGTCATTTTGTTCCTAAATGTATGTTCTAGAGAGACGGGTAGGTGGCCCATAGGGGTTCCATTTGAAAAAAAATAATTTTTGATCAAAAAGTGATGTGGCTGAATTGATTCCTGGATAAGTGACACAAAAAATAATTTTTCAGAAAAAAATATGTTCTTCTGTTATGTGTGACTCATTTATCTACGAGGTAAAATGAAAAAACAATTTTGAATAAATTTTTTTCGAAAAAATTACATTCGAAATAAATATTGCACTTGTTTCGACCTGTTGAACTTGAATATGTAAAAATATACAGGGTGTTCCATTTGAAAAAACAAAATTGCTGGCATTTCCAGAAAAACCGGAAGTCCACCATATCGGATTGTAATGTGATCAAATCCGAAATAATTGCTTATATAACTGTACCGAATTTCAGAAAAATCCGTTGACGAAAGCAGAAGTTATATTGGTTATTGAGAAAAATTTAGATATTTATCAAGGAAATAAAAACAATTATGAAGTAATGTTTCATGCAGATTTTTATTTTTTTTAATCGCTTGGAGCGCACGAAAGGAAATCCCTATGATGTTCAAAGAACATCGTGCGTTCCCAGGGAGGATAGGGACAGGAGGTAGGTATTGGAATTTTTCTTGAACTTCTGGAGATTATATGTTGTTGGGAATACTTCCTCAGGCAATGGATTCCAGAGCCTAGCCGTTCTATGGATGAAGGAGTTTTGATAAAGTGCTGTTCGACATCTTTCGAAGTTGACAACGAAAGGATGTGCTGACTGGGCTTGTCTAGTTCATCTGACTGGTATAGTGAGGGGATGATAGCAGAGATTTCCGAAGAACATATTTCCCGTGGAAGTATCGATAGAAAAGTGAAAGGTTGCCGACCTTTCTACGGTGTTCCAATGATGTCAAAGAGTGAGTGAGTGTGGCGTCACCCACCAGGCGAATGGCTCTTCTCTGGATGGAATCTAAGAGCATCAGCGTATCTTTTGGTGCTGAACCCCATATGTGGGAACAGTATTCTAGAACAGGCCGTATCTGCGCTTTGTAGATCATGAGAAGCTGTTGAGGTGTAAAGTAGCTTTTCGCACGGAACAAGAATCCGAGTTTCTGTGAAGCAGCTTTTGCGATGGATCTGACATGATTATCCCATGTTGCGTTGCTGATGGAAACACCGAGCATAGTTATGGTGGGCCTGGTGGGGATGGTGGTGCCAGACATTACAATATCGGGCATACTGAGTTCCGCCTTTCTAGAGAAAATACAGGCTTGAGTTTTGGTGGCGTTGAATTCAACTAGGTTGTTGGTTCCCCAGGTTGGTAACCAATCTTGAGTATGTTGATTTATCCAGCCATTAGAATAATTTCAAAGTTTTTTTTTTCTAAATGTACGGTAGTCCTTTCCTCGTTGGTGTTCATTGACCTAAAAAAGTTGATCATTATTCATCTATGTTCATCGCACTTCTCAAACAAATCTGTCAGGAGAAGAATTATGTTTAGCGGGTTGAGCAAATTAACTGACATATAAAATGTTATCTACCAACCTTGAAAGAATGAAACATAATCCGAGGTTGGTAGACCTGATGATAACTGAATTCAAGGATGATAGAGCTGCAACTAAAAATCATCAATTCTACCAACCTTGATTTAACTCAGATTGAAGTTTGGATGAGAATGATTGACTCATAGTTATCTTTATCACTTGATGCATATAGTCGTATGATAAAAGATCAATTCGTTCGAAACACTTGCAGAATCTCATAAAATATCAGAATCCACACAAATCCTCACAAATTTCTCATTACCCCACTTTTTTTCTACGTCCTTGAAAATACTCACATAATCTGACCAATCGCAAGCCAAAGACAACTAGTGTTATCGCGATGTGACCATGGATAGCAAAGGAAAGTCTGTCAGTTTGACATAAAATAATTATAGCTGCAGATATCATAATGAATTGCTTTGGTTATATGGCTTGTTCATTTATAATAAATGCTTCTTATGCTTTGTGAAACAGTCTAGCAAAAAACCACTCTGTTCTGAATATCTTCTCATAATTTTGTAACTCATTCCCACTAAGCAAAGTTGAAAACTATGTTGATGCAATGTTGAAGAAATTACTGAAACGGACGTTCAGGAATATTGAGAAGTTTGATTTTGATAATGTAGCGTTGCAGCAATATAACATGTTGCTGTGACATTGCTGGAAGGTTACATTTACAGATTTACATTTGTAATATTGTTGAACGTCCGTTTCAGTAATTGCTACAACCTTGCATCAACATAGCTTCCAAATTTGCTTATATAGTGGGTTGTTTGTTAATTCAATTGTGTTGGCGTACAGCAATACCAGTCGCCCTGACAGACTCGTGGTGTTGCTTGGCAACACAACTCCATGAACAATGAGCCTTATGAAAATAAACAGGAAAGGCTGATGCCTGGGTGAAGTGCATGCAATTATGTATCTACAGGTTGATTCCACGACAAGTGTTCATATTTTGCTAACTTTTCTCATCCTTGTGGTGGCGAAATTTGTAAACAGAAATAATTTGGCATTATCTGTATGCAATTCGCAGCTTAATATTGCCCTCATATCTAGTTCGCAGCTTAATATTGCCCTCATATCTAGTTGAGCCATCTAATCTGCGTTTAATGAGGATATATTATGGCTTTTGAATTATTTTTGATTTGTTCATTTAAATGAGTGAAACATGATGATGTACCTACTCATTTTGATGATATTAGGGTATGAGCTAAGGCAATTATCGTTTGATTAAAATTCTCCAAAGGATATCTCGATTTTTTTCCATAAATCTATTCTCGATTCACTAAGGAAATGATTGAGTTTCACCTATTATTTGCAGCCGATATTTATTCATTGGTACTTACCTATATCATCTCACGGAGAATAATTCACCGGCGCATGAAATACTGTTTTCACAGTATTATTATTAAGCCTTGTCAGTTCCAGACCAACTTCAGGAACTTAATATTGAAATTCGTCAAAGCTTCATGCGAATGCATAAATTCTCGAATATATGCAGGCATCTGGTTTTACAACTACTTACCCAACTCTATCTAGTTACAAAATTATACAGACATTTGTGGAAGCGAATGCTGAGGATCCATATGATATTTTGCGTTATGATTTGGAAATGCAAATTCCGTTTAATACGAGAAACTTCAACTAGATTTAACTTAGACACTCATTAGACAGAGGACGTTTATTTGGAAGTTTCAAATGGGACTTGGTTATTCTAAAAGCGATACATTACCGAAGGAAGTAATTCTGGAAATTGAGGTAATATTTCAGTGGCGTTCCTAACCAGTCGGGCAACCAGCCACTCCCGTACGGAAATGTTGGGTTTGGAGTGTATCTTTCGTTCTTTTGTCTATGGAGGACACCTCTGAGGGAATATAATGCCGACTTGATTTTTGTTTCGTTAGGCTACGCTTAGTCGGCGATCTTAGGCCTGCTGGCTGATGAGAGTCAAAGAGCTCGAAACCGGTCTGTAGGTGTCTAGCGCGTGGCCTGGTTAAATCAAAATCGATAGGCATTCAGAAAAGAATCACTTGTATCAGTATTCGTATCCCTAATAGCACACAACGTCCTAGGGACGTCACTATTTGGTACAATTCACGCCTGAATGTCCCGAACCAAAAATAAGTGTCCTTGGGACGTCCCATCCCGTACATCTCATGCAATGTCCGAGCAAGGACGTCCACG